TAGGCACGTGGAAGAAAGTGGTTCCTCTTTGATACCTAGGTTTGTCTTGAGCGTGTGTGGCAGCAGCGCAGGGCATTGAGCAAGAAGTAACGATGCCAAACCCATGATCCATAACCTTGATCCTGCTCTTCCCATTCATCAACGCCTTTGTAGGCAAAATTCAGAGTTTTCCATCAAATGACACTCGGAAATTCACTGAGCGCGGCAAACAAGTACAACGCAGAAATTTGGAGAATCGAGTCGTATGTTTAGCGAGAGTCAAGACCTGCAGTGCGTCGTGAAATGGTACGCTGTTCAATAAAGTTGGCTCAAGTTTTATTAATCCGAGGGGAAACACCTTCTGAAAGACAGAATACTGCTTATAGAATACTGCTCATCACTGCACTGTCCCCAGAAATAGAAACAGAACACTTTCATCCAATTTCTTCTGTGTAATCAACAAACATGGCGGAGGTGGTATAGTAGCAAATGGCGCACTATCACACAAGCACGGTTAAGGATTCCAATTCGCTCAAGCCAAACGCCTTTCATCCCCCTGGGTTGGCTAGTTGTTCCAGACCCGTCCGGGAAGATAAAAGCACAGACCATCGCCTGGCCATAGCAAGTCACTGTATCATCCTTTGATGAAACACATGAAGACATTGCAGATCCCACACATTGCATCAAGGAATTCCTAGCATTCCCACCTGAGTTCATCCCACGCCCAGCACTTCGTCACAACTTCGTCATACTCGTCACCCCCAACACCCACAAGCCCAAGTTTGGCTCTTCAATATTGACGAAATATTACGTCGTATGAGCCGCGACCCATTCAGCGGTACACTCTCGCCGCGAGAGGGTGCAGAAAGCGAGAGCGAGCGAACAGCTGAGGAAACTTCACATTCAACATTTTCAGCTCCATTCTAGTCATTTTAGCCAAAAACTGCTCTGCCGTGTGAGTTATTTATCATTTCTTCTTTCTAAAACTGTAATCATCAACACTATTACTAGTTTTTTTCCGCTAATAAGTTACTACATCATTGCTTTCAATTACCAGTAAGTAACCTGTATGTATTTGATGACTCAACCACCTTCCTGATAAGAAAAACCCCTCTATAAGGTGACTAATACGCAGTGATACTTATATTTTAGAATTAGAACCGCATCGACTACGTTAATATTCATCGCTCGATTTTACTCCAGTTACTCCGATTGTTTTACCATAGACGATAACTTAGAATCATCACCTTATTTCTAAAGTTCGATGCGGAAAATCAGTGTTATTCCTTAATAACCGATGAATATCTTGTAGGCCCAAAAAACAGCAATCAAAATTTTCCTGCTAGAATACTAGTTAAATATGTATTGAGTTCCACTCACAGCCACTATAAACACGGCTTTTTTGAGCTTCAAACTGCAATTTCAAATCCAAATGAGTGCAAGATAGGTTGAAAACTTATATGTTCTTGAGCATTTATTGTTGTGGAGATGTCTATCTCCGGTTTTTTGAATCACTTGAAAATAAAAATTGTATTTTGGATTATCCCTTTGAATGGACAGCAATGAAAAAAAGTAGCAAGCTAAGCTAAGTTATGACAAGAAATAATCGATTAGCAGCGTCTCAAGCTTCAAAACCCGGTGATTTTATAATTGAACCCTAAAATTCATTGCCGTAGCAAAATGCTGCTTTTAGTTCCATTAATAATTTAATTATTAAATGATTCCATAAACTAGACATGGCATTTCATTCATCATTTCCTCCCTGAATCAATAATTTTCATTGAAGCATATCTTACTGGATAGTTAAGTACCCCAATTAAGCTCAAGCGAATTTTAATCTTCATTATATATCCATGATATGTGTTTTTGCTTGTTGCTTGCTCTGTTGCTGTTTAGGTACTACACGCGCTTGACATGTAATAAATAACGAATAAATAAGTAACTAGATAAATGACCAATTATCGGTGTAGTAGTTTTCCTTTTGTGCCAGTACTACAATATCCTGTTTTAGTAATATGGAATGAATAATCGATCAGATTATGGGCAGCTCGGCGTCAAGTGAAGTTCACCGTACTAGAATTCCTCAACGGTCGCAGGCTGACTATGAAAGCATCACCTGGTCATCGTTTTTGGAGATGATCAAAGAATTGAATAGGAAATGTTTTCGAGTTCGGAACGAAAAAGGAGACTATATATGCTTCGCGTTAGACAGAACATGTGCTGACGAAATTTTGTGGAAGAAGAAGGTGAGAATCAAATGCTTCACGGTCAATTTAGATTCGCTTCTAGTGACCTCAAGTAAGACCCTGAAATTAGAAGAGTTCCTTAATGTTTACAATGTACACAAAGATGCTATTCAAAATAATGCTCAAAATGTTATGTGCTCTAGTAGATATGTGCTGAATGAAACTGCTGATAGCGATGGACAATGTTGTATATGTATGGATAACAATACTGAAGTGCTTCTTCCATGCTTGCATTCATTCTGTATGGCTTGTGTCGCTCAGGAATTAGAATTCCGCCCACAGTTCAGTTGCCCTATTTGTAAAACTCGAATTGAACACCCTATAGAAAATTCTTGGGAAGTTGCAGATCCCCCAGAGCCTTCCGATATAGTTTCCTATCTCAGTAAACTTTCCGGGAAGTAAAACGTTGTGATTGTTTTGATAAACTAATACAAAGCGAGATGCCCTGTCTGGTTCATGAACCTTTGTATTCAACGAGACTTTTCGTACATATCTCTTTCTGATTGGTGTTCTGAGTGATGAATAAACCGATGACTCAGTTTCCAGTCTTATTTATTATAGGTTTAGCTTCGAAATGATTACTATTACTTACTATTACATCTGTATTGTAGAGCTCCAACAAAGA